TTATTGTTTAATACATTTCAGTAATATTTTCATTGAGATATTTTTTTCTGTTATGCAACATGATTCCTCTTATTGCTTAACAACAGCAATACTATTCTTAGCTCTTGTTGGATGATAGAGCTTCCCAACCAATCAGAGGCCAGTCTTGCTTTGGTGGAATCTTATTTCAGCTTCCTGTATCGAGAATCTCATCCTTTCTGTCATTCATATCTTACAATTATAGAACAAAATTGGTACATAGGAAGACTAGAAAACTTTGAATATTTTGTCACAGCTTCCTTATCATGTGTGATAAAGCACAAAACTATATATTCATCTACTACAGCATACAAAGAAAATAAGACACAAAGACATGTCTTCAAGAGGTAGACACTGGTCACAGCATCGAGTGAGGTGTCCATCTTTGTTTAAAACCCTTATTTGTTAGAAAACCTTATAAACCAAAAGCTGCAAACTAGCACCACATAACTAGCACCACATAATCGAAGAGTTCAGGAACATATCATCATATGGAACATCCATCCATCCATCCATCCATCCATCCGACCATCCCCCTCTGTGTTGAGGACTGTGAAAACCACAACACACAGGATTTGTTCTCCTTCCTATGAAGCTGCCTGGGGTCCACTTCGAAAGGGTCCCTATTTTGGTGGAGGCCCAAAAAGACCCAGATCTCCAGAATTATCAAAGATAAGTCATCATGGTGACCTTTCCAGAGCCGTTGCAACACATTTCTCTTGAGTTTCAGAACTTACAGAGCCAGACTGGTTGGAGGGTCTTCTAAGGACCCGTGTTGACCTTCCAAATGGACATGAAAAAAAGGTTGGCAGGTCTGGAACGATTAGGGACAGAACAAACAATATGTCTTTTGATGATGTTGATCATTTCATGTGTTTACTGATGAGTAAAGACAAGCTAACAGGATGGACTGCATGTTATGCTACAGTAATGTTTTGAGCTGTTGAAGCTTGGATAAACCTTATTTCACTATGGGTTTAAACACTGATATAACATTAGTATTCATGTGTTCCTCAGATGCTCATTACATTTCCATTACCAAGTATGACCAAGAGTCATTTAGTGGAATCCTGATGTCTATTCGATGCTAGCTATTTCAAAGAGGGTAAAGAATCATTTAACTAAAGGTTATCCATTTAATAAAACATTATTTTGCCAAATAATATTTTATTCACCTCATGGATTTGCATTATGATTTGCCCTAAAAACATTCAAATTTCACTAAATTAGTAAAAAAGCTAATTTGATCATATCCCTAATTCTTCCAGATAAACTTTGATTTTCAAACACAAGATCTATCTTAAACTGTAATATGGTTTTCAGCTATGTTTCCTCTTCCTCTTTCAGAGAGTGCTACTGCTGCGGTTGATGAGACGTATCGTGTTCACTTGCTGTTTCGAATACAGAGCAGTGTTGTTGCTGTTTAGACAATGTCCGTCTGAATTAAGTTCTTTTTTCTGTGATATATCTGTATGTAAATACCTCTAACTGTCTAGAACCACTTTAAAACATAGCGCCTTCTGCTGAATTTCTCTACTGAGCACTTGTCACTTTCTCACGGTTTTATTTCTGCTAGTAAGGAGTAGCTAGCCTAGGCTAGCACTTGCTTAGCATCACTATGGCTTCTCTTTCTCTCCTCTCTCCTTCTCTCTGTGTCAGATGTTCAGCTATTCCTCTGCCTCCTTTAGTGATAATGGGATGTGTAATAAGTGTAGTATTTTTGTATCTTTGGAGGCGAGGGTGTCAGAGTTAGAATCCAGGGTTCAGGCTGTTGAACATCCAGGAGTTAAAGTAGGCCCCCCACGTAGCTGTCCTCCAAAAGTGCCTGAGCAGCCAGGCGATTGGGTAACTGTACTGAGAAAGCGTAGTCGTGGATTTCTGCCCACTGGTCACCACCAACCTGTTCAAGTTTCTAACCGATTTTCCCCACTCAGGGACACACCCACTGAGAAGCCCACTCTGGTGATTGGCTGCTCCATAGTCAGAAACGTGAGACACCAGGGACCGTAGTCAAATGTAATGACATCGGTTATGCCGATCAGAGGTCACTAAAATTAGTGCTGCTTCGGTGTGTAAGTTTGCCAAAACAATGTTGGACTCCGTAATTTTCTCTGGTCCCCTCCCTGATCTGACCAGTGATGACATGTTTAGCCGCATGTCGTCATTCAACCGCTGGTTGTCTAGGTGGTGTCCTGAAAACAACGTGGGCTACATTAATAATTGGCAATCCTTTTGGGAAAGCCTGGTCTGATTCGGAGAGACGGCATCCATTCCACTTTGGATGGTACAGCTCTTCTTTCTAGGAATCTGGCCACATTTATTAGTCCTCCAAAACCCTGACCACCCAGGGTGCAGACCAGGAAGCAGAGTTGTAGTTTAACACACATCTCTGCAGCTTCTCTACTGTTACCCACTCTTTACTCCATCCAGACAGTGTCTTGCCCACAACCAAAATCTAATAAATTAGCAAATATTCCCAAAGGAGTAAATCATGATAATCTAATTACAATCAAAATAACTCCAATTGGGGAAAAAGTTAAAATGATTAAATGTGGCTATTTAAAATAAGATCTCTTTCCTCTGCTAGTTAATGACTGGATTTGTGATAATCACATTAAATTATGTTGCCTTACAGAAACTTGCCTGCAGCAAGAGGATTATGTGACCATAAATGAGGCAACTCCTTCAAGTTATTTAAATTTTCACATACCCAGAAGTTCTGGGCGAGTAGGAGGAATAGCAACAACCTTCCAGTCTGACTTACTGATTACTCCGAAAACAGTTAATACCTACAACTCTTTTGAACATTTAATCCTTAGTTTCCCTCATCCAAATTGCAAAGCAAGAAAACCTCTTCTTTTTGTTTTTTCTTTGTTTTTACAAGAGTTTTCAGAGTTCCTTTCTGATTTTGTGTTAAATACTGTCAGGGTTATCATAGTGGGAGATTTTAACATCCATGCTGACATTGAAGGCAATAGCTCAAGACCAGCCTTTAATGCTATCTTAGATGGCTTTGTTCAAAATGTGAATAGCACCACACATTCTCATCTTCATACTTTGGATCTTGTGCTGACATGTGGCATAGAATGTGAAGAAATAACAGTATTAGCATATTAGTTTTAAACATGTGAAAAACAAAAAATAGATTAGATTCAACTTTATTGTCATTACACAGGTACAGGTACAAGGCAACGAAATGCCGTTTAGGTCTAACTAGAAGTGTAATAGCAGCAAGTGCAGGATAAATGATAAAAGAGCATGCTATTTAAATCTCAATTTAGATAGTTTTAAATAATCTGTCTGTCTTTGGTTTTGTTGCATCTGCACTAATAAACAACATACACCAGTCTACATTTTAGACAGCACAGAATTAAGCTGCCATATCGACACTGGCCGTCATTTTAAATGGGGACAGAGCTCAGCTGCTCTTCATGAACTGCTGTGGATCAGGGTGGGACTTAGACTCCAGTATCATCTGCTTTGCTTCTTTAGAATTATGTGCAACAGCATAAAATCTGGGGGTTTATTTGTAAATGTTTTATATCGTCATTTTGTACATCCCAGACCCAAGAATGAAACAGTTTGTAAATCTGTTATTTAAGGCTGTAACTATGGAGAACAGACGGCCTCTTGCAGTCACTGGCATTTGGAAAAGCATGTTTTAAATTTATTCTCCGAAAACTTATGCTCCCTTATATTTATTTATTTTTATATGTGGATTCCGTTTGGAAGGGGAGGAGCACTAAATGGAAACCTGGAGAAAACTTCATTTTCCAAAGGCAAACATTTGATTTTATGAATTTGAACTTTTTTAGTATGCTGAAATTTCTTTATGTAATTGGATTTCCAAAAGGACCCCAGGAAAACAGCTGCAACATCTATGATAGTTAATGGATATGCAAATAATAAACAATAAACAAACTGTTTTCAGGCTCCTTCTAAGTCATTACCACAAATCTGTGCTATCTTAATCTAGATAGCACAGTCTACTAAATATTCTTCTATTTCATCCTGACCTGCTGCAGGTCATGTTTAGTCAACTCATGTTAGTGATGTATAAATGTTGACAGGATGTGAAACAAAAGGAAGAATTAATAATCATGAATGGATGAGGAAGTTGGTAGAAGATAATATATCTATATCTCTTTATCTATATCCATATATGTATAGATATAGATATATAGTCATAGATATATAACATGCTCATCGACTTTTTTTCCATTTACTCCTTTGTTGTCACAGCTCCCCGGTGACGCGTCACAGACAATGTTTCACAATTTTTGTCACCTTTTTGTTCTCCACAGCAGTAGCCTTAATGTTCATGCTAAGGGCCCACCACTGGATGTCAGTATAGAGAAACACTTTAGGGAGAGAGGCATCTACCATCATTTCTCTGCTGGTTGTTGGTTTTTATGTAGTTGTAGTCTATCACCTGTAACAGTCAGGCTTTGTTTTCATATTCTTTAAAGGGCCCAAACTGCTGAACCAGCCCTGCAGAGAATCATTAAAAAGCATCTCTTTAGATGACAGACGTGCAGGACTCTGTTAGTGTGATAGAAATAAATATACTATTACTGTGTAAAGGCCCTTCTAGGTACAGGCATAGCAAATTAACTGTCTGCTAGGGCTATGGTAGAGTAGATTTTGTTTTAAATTTATACATTGGTCCATATTAAATCAATTATTAAAATGCAATGAAGAAAAATATAAACATCTCTACTAAAGAGGAAACTGAAAGATAAAATAATCAAGTTAAAGCAGGAGCTCATAGTGTAACCAGTTTATCTAAATATGTGTAAATCAAAAACACATTAATACCTGTAGAAACTGTCATTTCAATGTGTTATTTCCTTTAAAGTTAATATATTCATACCTGGTGTTTCTAAGCTGTGGGCGTAGAAACCAACGTATTTCCTGTTGTGCGCATGATTACGTGCTGTGACCTAAATCGTGTTTCCTCAAAGCTCCACCATCTTCTACCGTAACCAGTCGATGCTCACCGAAGGCTCCGTTCCTCTCAGCTTTCTTACCTTATTAACTTTTAATGATCTAAAAGAGTTTATTTCTGAAGAGAAACCTGTTGATCTTGGATAAAACTATATTTAACCAACCTGGTTGAACTTGATGAGCAGGAATGGAGTATTTCCTCCTTCTTCTGGTTTCCTTCGCCGCATTGGTGTCTGCTACTGACGGTGAGTTTTTAGTCAGGGATGAAGAATATCTGCTAAATGTCTTTATCTCAGATATCCTGATGTAATCCTCTGCTGCTTCTCTTAGTAACCGTCATTGTTTTATACCAAAACTGTCTTAGTGGCAAACCGTTTACTAGAAAAAAGAAAAAGCCCCACCCACAGCACCGCAGATTGATGCAATAATCAGCATTTCTTAACTTCCAATCTGATCTCGATGCCTGAATTTGGATTCAATATCTGCTGATAGTGAAATTATTCTGATAGAGTGATTTTATTTGCTTTAATGTTCCAATATCATTATTGGTGAACCGTGGCAGAACCGTGTGGTAACTAGGCCTTCAGCGTGTGTGGGAACTAGGCCTTCAGCAGGAACGTCTCAACGAAATTTACCTCTTAACCTCTTGATGTCTGAATTTAGGTGTGTGTAAAATAACAAACACCATTAGGGAGCAGTTATAATAGAAACAACAGATTGACTAAGTTTCCTGTTCACTGTATTTCTGTTGGTGAGATGTGAAATATCTGTGTCTTCACTTCCTCTTTATCCTGCTAAGCTGCGTACTGGTCTTGTTCAGGCTGTCTCTGTCTAAACTAAGTTCTTTTTTTCTGTGATATCTCTGTATCTAAGTAACTAACTCTCCAGAACACTTTAAAACATAGCACCTTCTGCTGCATTTCTCTACTGAGCACTTGTCAGTTTCATTCGGTTTTATTTCTGGTAGTAAGGAGTAGCTAGCCTAGGCTAGCACTAGCTTAGCATTGCTATGGCTTCTCTCTCTTCCTCCCTTGACTCTTTTCCTCTCTCCTGCTATCTCTGTCAGGTGTTTAGTTATTCCTCTGCCTTCTTTAGTGATAATGGTATGTGTAAGTCTAGTATTTTTGTAACTTTGGAGGCCAGGGTGTAAGAGTTAGAATCCGGGCTTCGGGCTATTGACGTCCAGGAGTTAGAGTAGGGCATGTTGTTAAGTGCCTGGAGCCAATAAGACCAGGGACGCCCCCACGTAGCTGTCCTCCAACAGTGCCTGAGCAGCCAGGCGATTGGGTAACTATACTCAGAAAGCTAGTCGTGGATCTCTGCCCACTGGTCACCAGTGTAGTATAAAGTACTGAAATCTCTGAGTCAAGTAAAAGTATAAGTACCTCTCCAAAATAAGACTTTGGTAAAAGTCCAAGTCACTGACTGAAATGTTACTTGAGTAAAAGTCTTCTTGAGTAAAAGTATCTGAAACGGCTTGTACTTAAGTATAAGAAAATACTGTAAAAATACATGTACTCAAGTAATGCAGTGAAAAGTATAAGTAAAACTTAGTGCAGTTTGAATGACATTTTTTACATTTTGGTAAACTTTGAAGGTTAAATTCACTTAAAATAATATAAACAACTAAGTGTAGGATAAATTTAGACTGGCTTTGCGAAACAGGCGTATCTATTGGTGTTGATGAACAAGCCCAGGCAAGACCAGACTGACAGTAGGTGGGGTCAAAACACTTGAGTTTCTCTCGCTCATTTTTTTTTTTTACTGAGTAACTAAACCAAACATTGAAAATGTATCGGAGTAAAAGTATGCAATTAAGTTCGTAAATGTAGTGAAGTAAAAGTGAAAGTTCTCAAAAACATTTATAGTATAAAGTACTCCAAAATATACTTAAGTACAGTCGTGAAGTATTTTTACTTCCTTACTATACAACACTGCTGGTCACCACCAACCCTTTCATGTTTTAAACGTTTTTTCCCGCTCATTGACACACCCACTGAGAAGCCAACTCTAATAACTGCCTAGAACAGGCGACACCAAATCCTCCCTGAAACTGCTGGCTAAGGATAAGGTTAAATACAGTAAGATTGTTATTCACGCTGGCAGTAATGACACACGGTTACGCCGATCGGAGGTCATTCAAATTAGTGTTGCTTCGGTGTGTAAGTTTGCCAAAAAAATGTGGGACTCCGTAATTTTCTCGTGTCCCCTCCCTGATCTGACCAGTGATGACATGTTTAGCCGCATGTCGTCATTCAACCGCTGGTTGTCTAGGTGGTGTCCTGAAAACAACGTGGGCTACATTAATAATTGGCAATTCCACTTTGGCTGGTGCAGCTCTTCTTTCTAGG